CTCTTATTATATAAATATAATAATATAATAATAATAATAATAATAATAATATGGTACAGTAAGCAGCGAGCGACAAACCTAATCTTTTCAATCTATGAAATTAAACGTAATTAAGCTGCTTAAACAACTCAGCATGTTGCACTAGAAACACAACCATGATAATTAAAAATAATTCACTTCATTGTTTGCGAGTATTCTAAATATATATATACATATACATATGAATTCATTTATATTCGTCACATGTATGCACACAAGCAAAACCTACGAGACTTGAGATGAACATTTGGGGACCAAATCCTGTGTTTACGGTTTTAGCATTGTCAAAGTGATTTTCTGTACTTGGGAACCATCGAACGTGTCGGACTCCACGGTCCACACTGCTGCTGGCAACCACGTGTATTTTACGAGTTTACTCTACAGTACAGCCGTGTTGGGCTCCACACACCTGGATCTTGACACACACCGTTGGATCTTGATCGAATACGAGCGCGAAAATACAAGCAAAAGACACCCAATTTCACTGTCGCTGACTCAAACGAGTGGTGAAGGCGTTGAGCTCTAGTCACTTCATCATAACCATTCATCACCACCATGGGCAATTTTGTGATTTCACTGTCCAAAAACAGCAAGCTGAAAAGGTTCTGTGAAACTTCAATTTCCCCTCGCCGACAATCCAACTCAAGCTGCCAAGAGAGAATACAAACGTCCCACCCCTCGATTGGGACGGTGACAAACCTTATTTATTCAAATTAAATTAAGATGGGGATAATTCCATGTAGGCCACACCCTTGGACCCATACCCTCCTGGCTTCAACTTTTGGTCTGTGACCACGATCAGCAACAGTGCCTCGTGACTTTATACTTTTTTAAATTCATATAGGATTACTCAAAAATAAATAGACCAAATCCACCCATTTACTCCACCCATTAAAATCCATTCTATTCACTGCCTTCTCTGTCCTCTCTGCCACTCCATTATTCTCAACCATTCAAGCTCTCTATCTCTCATGAAAATTTCTTGAAAAAACCAATCTTTATTCCCTTTGCGCCTTTCTTTCTTCTGGGCTCAATAACAATGGTTTCTCTTGAAGAATCTCATTCCAGTTCCACTCGCTTCTCACAACGGCGACCTTACTACACTCCACCTCCGTCATGGAACAAGATCCAGAGACCTCTCGGCCGCTCCATGCGCACTATCCGCTCCAATCTCTTCCAGACCGACCACTCTTGCTCATTTCCAGGACCAACCACACCGGAAAGATCAGCCAATGTCTCCGAAAACTTAACCGATTCTGTCATCGACCTCCGACTCGGCGAACTTGCTTCTCGTACCAACCAATCGGTCAAGTCCTCATCTTCAGAAGACGATTTTTTCGATCTGTCTCAAGCTTTCAGCGATTTCTCGGCTTGTAGCAGCGATATTTCCGGCGAGTTACAGCGTCTTGCAACTCTCCCAAATGCCGAAAACCAGGATCCGAATCCGAACTCGGAACCCGAACCGGAGCCGTGCTATGGGTTCTTGCAGAGAGAGAGCTTTTCAACGGAGATAATAGAAAGTATTTCGCCGGAGGATCTTCAACCGACAGTGAAAATCTGCATCGACGGCCTTAATTCGTCGTCGGTTGCTGTGAAAAGATCGGCGGCGGCGAAATTGAGACTACTAGCAAAGAATCGGTCTGATAATCGGGCGTTGATAGGCTCATCCGGTGCTATACCAGCTCTAGTACCTCTGTTAAAGAGTAGTGACCCTTCGACTCAAGAGCATGCTGTCACAGCTTTGCTTAATCTCTCACTCCACGAAGAGAACAAAAGCTTGATAACAACCGCCGGCGCCGTGAAATCCTTCGTGTTCGTGTTGAAAACCGGAACTGAAGCATCAAAACAGAACGCGGCGTGCGCTTTGTTGAGCTTAGCTTTGGTTGAGGAGAACAAGAGTTCTATAGGGGCTTCAGGCGCCATACCACCATTGGTGGCTTTGCTGATTAATGGGTCGAATAGAGGGAAAAAAGACGCATTGACTACGCTGTATAAGCTTTGTTCAGTGAAGCTGAATAAAGAGAGGGGGGTGAGTGCTGGGGCGGTGAAGGTGTTGGTGGGTTTGGTGGGTGAGAATGGGACGGGGTTGGCGGAGAAGGCAATGGTGGTGCTGAGTAGTTTGGCTGGGATTGAGGAGGGGAAGCAGGCGATTGTGGAGGAAGGTGGGATTGCAGCGCTTGTGGAGGCAATTGAGGATGGGTCGGCCAAAGGGAAGGAGTTTGCGGTGTTGACGTTGTTGCAGTTGTGTGGTGATAGTGTTAGGAATCGAGGGTTGCTTGTTAGGGAAGGTGGGATTCCTCCTCTTGTCGCTCTTTCGCAGACTGGGACTGCTAAAGCCAAGCACAAGGTGAGTTTTTTTTTTTTTTTATCTGTATTCATCGTATTTGAATGCTTGTGATCTGAAATGGGTTCCTGTAGTGGCTTGCTGGTTATTGCAGATCTGGATTATGCATAGCTCGTATACTGTTTAGTGCTCCGTACAAAACATGTTTTCTTGGTTAAATTGGTTCAATCATGCGATAGATTTAGCATAAAAGGAATTGCAATTTGTTTTGGATGGATTGTTGGCCACATGTGCAAAAACCAATTACATGATTGTCATGGTGTTGAAGTCTGCAAGTATACATCGAGTCCTTGTTTATGTAACTGACTTCTGGTTTTTTAGTGACTTTGATGTATTGCCTTGGTGCTTGTACAAGTCAATGAATGGAATTTGAATTTTGTTCACACCCGGATGTATTTTTTGGGTAGCTGAATTAAAACAGGGTTTAATTGTTTTTGGCAGGCTGAAACTTTACTTGGGTACCTGAGAGAACCAAGACAAGAAGCTTCTACTTCAAGCCCTTAGAGAGGTATTTTAAATGATCTTATATTGTAATTATGTAGTAGGTTTGTTGACTGTATATGTAGGAATTGTTTTGATGTTTTATACAGAGTGGTTGAGAAACTTGGTGGTTTGTGATGTAATGTCAAAAAATTGGTAGAAGCTATAGTGAGAAGAAGCTAACCTATTTAGGTGTATTATTGTTGACTAGGATTTTGGGGGGTTTAGTTCCCCTCTATTGTTAATTTTGTTTTGGGGAGGCGGGAGAACTTGTTTGCCTGGTTGGGTTTTGGGTTGTGAATTTATTATATGATCTGAGCTATGATTCTTTTGGTTTGTTTTTGGTGACTCAAGGGTTACTAATGTTTGAGTTTCGTTTTTTCCTACTCTCTTTTCCTCTTACTATTTTAAGGAATTAATCTTTTTGTCTATTTATTTTGTTTATATTTCTTGTCCCGGATTTGTCTCCTTACATTTTTTAGCAGGCCAAGTTGCTAATAGAGTTGGTAAATCAGTGCATTGTTCAGCTGAGTAGGAGTAGGTCAGCTAGCCATTTGGTCCTTTGACCTCCTGGATAGCTCTGCAAAGCTTAAAAAATAATCCACCTTTGACCTGCAGATACCCTTTCTATGAATTATTATAACCTTTAATTCAAGTGAACTTTCTCCATTCAAAAGTTGTGTACCTTAGTGTAAGGTTGCAACAAAACATTTTTACGAATCAACAATTCAATATTAAATTTCTATTTTTTGCAGTGTTCGGGATGTTTCGAGCTATTTTAGAAATAGAATTTCAAATTTTTTCCTTGGTTCTTGTGTGTTTTCAAAACATTTTCAGCTTTCCAATCTTTTTGGTATTGGTCTCACTTTTCCATTTTGCATTCCTTTGAAAGGAGAAAAATTTTCGTTATAGAGCTACTAACCATAGTTATGTACTGTACCAAAGCTTTGATCTTTCTTCTTCATGGTGGGTGGTATGAGGCTAACTGATGACTTATTCAAATTTTTAAGCAAACCAGGGATGAGATGAAAGGGAGGAAAGACGTAGTAGGAGGCCCTGTGATCTCTTAGTCGTTTGGTGGAAAGTGGTTTTAGCTAGAGTATTGATCCCACCAGCTTGTATGCATGTACATACTTAGACTGTCAGCCAGCCAGCCAGCCACCAACCTACCCCACCAAAAGATTGCGTATTTTGGGGCCATATTTATTATCTTTCTCTTTCTGGGGCGGGCTTGTCGTCTTTATTAGTTCATTAGCTGGCAGGGCAGAGCAGGTGCAAGGGCTTGTCCTGTTGTTTGGATGGGTCATTGCTTATTTCCATCTCTTCTCCCATGCATTTTGCACTTTTGGTATGGTTTTCAATCGTTGTTTGATGAAGTGTCGGTGTAGCTAATCGTATTTTGGGTATGGTTCCAAGTGATTTGTTGTACCTTTGAGGCCACATTGTTGGTTTCTCTCTTTTTTATTGCAAGAAGAGTGTGGTGGTACCTTGTTCATTATATTGACTTTCTAATGCCACTCCCACCAATTCTTTGAAGCAAAGAAAAGGAAAATGAAGCCATTCTCGAATCATCTACAGAGAGAGAGAGAGAGAGAGAGAGAGAGGATGTGTCATTTCTTGTTCAAGTTTCATCATGAGAAATGCATAATGCGGGGTGGAAAGGATTGATTTGAAGTCAGAGCCGACCCAACAGTAAAGCAGCCAGCACATAATAACATTTGAAAAATACAAAACGAAAACTGTTAAAACGCTAAAGAAAAATCAGAAGTCAATATGCAAAGTTAGCATCGCTCTATGGCTGTCTCTCTCTCTCTCTCTATCGTTTAAAAAGTGAATAGTGCAAATAACATCAACTCACTCTCAAACTCATGGTTATTCTAATCTAATAAAACTCCAACCAAACCTATATTTTATAGATAACACATGTGCCCTCAAAATAGAAAAACTAAACAAGAAATAAGATAAAGATATATATTGAGCCGCCCAGATTTGATTTGAAGGATTTTTCAAAAAGTTTTTTAAGATGGAAGGATACAAAGTTGCTAAATCAACATCCAAAGAACTTGATTCCTCAAAATATGGTGCCCACGGAAGTTGTTGATAAAATGTGAACTAATAATTTTATTTCACAGCAGGAGAGAGAAACAAAAACGACGTTATCACATAGACAATTCATATCTTTGATAATTAACTTGAATGAACAATGTTAGACTCACCGAGTATCCTAGCTATGTTAAGAAAAAAGCCCTATTGGTAATGTTGTATATGATTCCTATGATTTGGATCAAATGGTGTATCATTAATGTGGTGACATTTTTTTTTTATCTCGTTTTCCTCATTTTATCCTTCAATGCCATTTGGTTATTTATGTTTATTCAGTCTAGCATTATTCAAATATTTATTGAGTATTAATGAATGTGATTATAATACATTCTTATTGTTAGATTAGCAACAAATTTTAATATTGGTTAGATTATATTATACTGTCAAATCCAATGAGACAGCAAATTCTAGTCTCATGAACACAACAGGTAAATAGTGTCCAACAACACTTGGAATCATTCGCCATTATAGCATTTGGAGTTGTAAATTTTAAGTGTTTTGTGAGTTGAACCTAGTAGAACCAAGTGTACAGTTTACGATTCGTATGTACTAGAGGCATTAGAGCATATGGAAAAAAAAAAGTAAGAGCGGACATAAAGAAAGAAGCATCAAGGGTAAACCTTTTACATGTTTAGAATTTATCATTCATCAACACAAAGAAAACTGCTGGCAGCCAGCCACTCTTTGCTATCACCCAAATCAAACGCATACAATATACAAGATCTAGACAAAACATACAATATATATTCACCACTTAAAAGTTCAAAGCTTACAAAACCCATGATAGACTTTGTTCAAACCGTCCATACAGGAGATCACAGGTGATAACTTGAATGAGCAACTGTGGGCAGTGATTGGATAAAATGGCTAGTTAAAAATGCTCTAAACTGGACCTTCCTTCTCAACTAAACCAACGTGTCCAATTATGATATGATATTACGTGCTTAAGCTTTAACAAAAATCCCGTGCAATAGTGATCCATATAAACAAGAAAGATATCAGTCTACATCTGAGTAACAAAACAGTTCCAACATGCACTCACCCCATCCAAAAACAAACCTGTCTTCACCAAAATAGCATGATTAATTTCATCCAGGAAAGTTTTCACTGAGAATTTGAATCTCTTGCGAGTTCCACTTGTAATCAAATCCACCAGATCACTGATTCTTCCCCAGCCTCTACAGACCCATGTAACAGAGTCATTCAGAACATCATACTTAGTTAATCGAACGGTATTCAGAGTTCAATTAGATGTGAAATATTACCTTCACGACAATAATAAGGGGTACATCATTCCAGTTGTGGAAGCAATAGTTACTCACACTTCCCTATCGCACAGTGACAAAAACAAGCTAAACATCTCTCTCTCAAACACATGCGAGACAGAGAGAGCAAGATGTTGATCTTTCCCCAAGACAAATCAAGACTTGATGGAAATAAAATATATAATCTTTCTGATGGGAAATTTGAAACAAAATATAGGGAATCATGCCCCATACATAAGAAAGAATCAAACAGAAAATTAAAATAAATACAAACCAAGGAGGGAAGGGGAATTAGGAGGAAAGAGAAGGTGCTCAGAATTTGTAAAGAATGGATTGGAGAGTGTCCTCACAAAAATTGTCAGATTAACAAGATTATTATAACCTCATCATCGCACCTTCACTTCCGATAGATGGATGAAAGAATATATACATACCATACATACAAAATTGGGCCAACAAGTTTAGTAAATTCCGAAAAATTTCCCTAAAACAGAACCCAAGATAAATACCAACCTTCCTGCCACGAATCATACAACCACCATAGCATTTAAGAATGGAAATGTAGTGACCCTATGGCGTGGCTGTTGATATACATTAAAATCCAACTCATCTCATAAGAAATAAAAATAAAAGACCTCAGAATGTGAAGGCAATTAGAGCACTGACTAAAAGATTAATAGTGTGAACCTCTATAGCATTGATTAAAGTATATGATGTAAATATAGCATTGATTAAAGTATATGATCCAAGCCCAATTCATATAATCCAGTTCATAAGGAATCTAGACTCTAATTGCGTCCCCAAGCAAAGATACAAACATTTGTAATCTCCTGTTGCAACTCATACACCACTAACACCACTACAACAAAGAAAACAAATTTAAAGAAAGATATTATTGTTAAGTTGTAGGATAATGTACAGACCCTATAAAGTGTTATGGTTATCCACTACAATTGATTATTCATAGCAACCTAAAAATAAGAGCATGTACATTTGCATTAATAAGCAATTCAAAATTTTGGAGTATTGAGGCTAGATGAATGGGTGCATTTCTTTTCCATGAAGTCCAATAAAATTCAGCATCTCTTGTTCCAAGAGATTGTTGCATATTTATATACTCCATCATACTTGATTCATTTGTTTGGGTGAATATCATGTTCAATGTTATTTAATTCAACAAAAACACATATTAAATCTCAGCTACAGACCTAATTTCAGACCAAATACCATACCAATTTCATACCAAATTTCAGACACCTTCACACTCAATTTGGAACATAATTTCAGACCAAACTTGCATACTGTAGGAGCAGCATAGAGAAAGATGCAAGTTAACCTGTGTAATGGCATCATATTGAATGATGAATGCAGAAAACAATCTTCCCTCCATTCCTCTCTATCTTTGTTGATTGAAATCCTAGACCATAAATCAAAACAAGACTATTAAACAAAAAAAAAAAAAAAAAAAGACAAAAATAAAAAACTCACACTAAACATATCGAAACAGATGCATAAAGTCAATATTTTCTAGAAAGAGTGGATTCTGTGTCCTTGACTTAGGACCATACTCCCCAAGCAACCCAATAGCTCCCAAATAGGGATGCATGCTCAACCATAACAGAAGCTTCGATGTGGACTCACTTCATCTTGAACAGATATGAACTGAAATTGACCTTTAATAAAAGCAAGAATCAGAAGCACCATGAAGTACGACGATAAACAGGAGAAGTTCTACAGAGAAACCAAAACCATCAGGATTCACCATTCCTACAACAAGGGAAACATATAACCAACAACCTTGAAACTGGCATGAAATCACTGGTTAACCATAACATAATATCACTCGCTAATGACTTAAAACACATATAAAAGGTAACATTCCCATATCATAATACACACAGAGTAGCCAAAAATCAAGACTTTATGGAAATCAAAAATATATTTGTTTCAGAGGGAAAATCTGAAACAAAATATAGGGAGAATCATTACTCAAACATAACACAAAATCAAGCAAAGTAAATTAAAATCCGAGACAAATCAAGGAGAGAAGGGAAATTAGAAAGAAAGAGAAGACGCTCAGAATTTGTAGAGAATGGATTGGAGAGTGTATCCTCACAAAAAAATTGTCAGATTAACGAGATTATTACAACCTCATCATCGCGCCTTCATTTCCGATAGATGGATGAAAGAACATATACATACTATACATATAAACACACAAAACTCCATACGATTTAATTCATAAGACTTGAGGAAGAAATTTCTTTGATACCAAAAAGCCAAGGAACCCATCTCGGCAATGGCGGCTCGATATGCCACTACCGACCAGGGTTCAAGAGCCCTTGACTGCATAATACTGAAATTAGGGTTTGTCTGTATAAATACAGGAACACCGTTTAGCAGCAAAGCGGGAATTACTTATCAAATTACGTAATTGCCCTACAGATTTAGGTGGTGCCCGGTGGGACTGGCTTACGATGGCAGTAAACCGGAAAAAAATGAGTATTTGTCTAAATTTGTTATGTTTAAATTGGAGATAAATTATATGTATTGGACATTAAATGTATATGAAGATACCCGTATAAATCAGTATGGGAATGAAGGCGGGGATGATCTTACTCTTATCCCCGCCCCCGCCCTCGCTCTCGCTACCCGTTAAATAAATAAATAAATATATATATATATATATACACACTCTAAAGTCTTAATTAAACATATTTACTGTAACTACTAATCTAAAAATATGGTAATTAAACAAGCAAGTGACATTGGTATGCGGTAATTTTATCAATTTTTTTTACTGATTGTTCTTTTTTCCATGTATGCTCACTGATTGAAACTGTTAAAAGTTTGGGTTGACCATGCTCTACAAACAGATAAGAGAGAGTAAGATAATTTTGTATTTCATGGTGGATAGAATTATTGAATTAGTGAAATTTTAATTTTTTATCTTTTAACATTTTATGGCTGTAATATGAATTGTAATAACAAAAATTCTTTTAGGAAACTTCAAGTGTAATGCTATTACTTTCATAGTTCAATTTTATTTTCTTTTTCTTCTTTTCTCTCTAATAGTTTCATTTATCTTTTTGTGATCCAATGACACTTTAAA